GCGCCCTGCGCCCCGCACCCTCGTCCCGCCCTGGCGTCGAGCCCCGCCGAGCCGCCCCCGGGGCCTCCCAGCCACAGCTCCCGCTTCTCTTTCCTGTTGGGAGTGCCACGTCGAGTTCTCAGACTCCAGCCGACTTTGGCACGTGTGGCGCCCGGCTGCCTGTAGGCATCCGTGCCATGGTGGAGGGCATGGATCCAAACCTATGTGGAGTCCCTGGAGCTGGGGCCGGGGCATCATCGGCAAACCTACATCACCTCCACCTCCGCTCGCCAGATGGAGGAGCACAAGGGAGGGCAGGGCGACTGGCTCAGCCCTGCCCCAGACACAGGGCACTCAGGGAGGCCCCAACCAGGGTGGGAGGTGAAAGGGGGCGAGACTAGCAGCCAGGATCGCATCCCACTGTCCCACCGCAAAGTCAGCTAGACTTCCCCCTTCTGCCTCTGGGTCCTCAAGACCCAGCATTCTGATGGCAAGGAGTCCCGGGCAGGGCGGGTGCTTCCTTGGCTTACAGCCCAGAGTTGCAACCAAGAAAGACTATTCTCCCTTCCTTCTTTCAGGACTGCTAAAGGTTTTCTTTGCAGCCATGAAGGCAACTCTCTTGCTGGGATTTGTTGGTTCTCTTCTGTTGTTGTTCTTTTTCCCCTAACCTGTTTGTACACAGTCAAATTGTTACCTTGGCCAAATGCATATTAGTTGTGTGACTGCGAATACTGCATTCAAGCCTCAAACTAGCAGAAATGCTTTGCTAAGAATACTAAAGATCTTACCATACATGTTGGAACTCCCTTACTTCATGGGTGATGTTTCTATGTTGCTGTCCCATTTCTTTTCTTTCTTTCTTTTTTTTTTTTTTTGCTTGTAGATGGTTTGAGCTCAGTGCCTCTTACTTACTCTGCCAACTTACTCTACCCCTTGAGCTATGCCTCCAGCTATTTTCTGCTTGTTGTTTTTGGAGCTGGAGTCTCTCAGATGTTTCTGCCCTGGTTGGTTTTGAATTATGTTATCCTTCTGTGTAGCATTTGCTGTGTGTGTGTGTGTGTGTGTGTGTGTGTGTGTGTGTGTGTGTGCGCTGGGGATTGAGATACTGTCCCTTACTTAGGTTTGTCGCTCAAGGCTGGTGTTCTACTACTTGAGCCACAGCTCCACTTCTGGCTCTTTGCTAGTTAATTGGAGATAAGAGTTTCATCAACAAGAAGTGTGACTGTCAGATCTCAGCGCATAAGTAGCTAGCGTCACAGGCATGTGTTACGGGTGTCAGGCTATATCTCATCTATTTTAACATCCATTTTTGCTTCCCACTTGAGGATCATGTCACCCCCAGAAATCAGAGAATGAAAGGCAGGCCGGTAGAGGATCCGGCTATGCTCACAGTGGCATACATTGCCACATGGCTGGGAGCTCACCACCCACTGCAGAAGTTCCCTGTCACTCTGCCTTCCTAGGAATTATACAGAAGCCCTCTGAGAAGGGCAGAAAGAAAAACGAAGTAACATTTGTGGTATAATTTCTGATTTACATGCAAAGCTCTTTAACCCCTGACAGCCTGAAAGACAGAATCCACTTGTATCTTTCTACTCTAAGTGAACATATTGGAATGTAAGAGGAACTTTCAGAGGAAGATAGAGATGCTAGCAAGAGTCAGTCTTCTTTTTCTGCTTCTCAGGACAGGTCCCACAGTCCCCAGCTCTCACTTTCTATAGCAAGTCCTGTCCTTGAGTTTTGAATCCGTCTGTAGAGCGTCTCACATTGAAAACAGGAGACAATTGCCCACCACGGTTTACCACTTATGACTCATAACTGTAACTTAGGCAGAACTCCATGAGGATGCCTTGACCCTACCCCACATGGTGTTGAAGGAGTGACATGTACTTCTGATCATGTGAAATACCTAACAGTTGTCAAATACCCAAAAGAATTTGTTGGCTTATCCATGCTTAGATAGATCTGTGTAATGGCTAGGCTTTGCTTTATGCTTCAGAACTCTGCAGTGAGGTTATAAAAACCAAGAGGTGAAGTCATGGTTTGTTATTTCTGAGGAATGTGAGACCTCTTTTATTAGTTAAAAAAAAAAAGAACTTTGGAATCTTCATCTAAAGAATCTCTTTCCCTGGTGGGAGAAATGATGGCATTATCTCCTGTGTAATCTGTCCTCTGAGTACCTGACTTTAGTTCACATTTTGCTAGACCTCACTGTCTCTAATCATAAACAGGAATAGGTTAGGACTCACAGAATAAAAGAATGTGAGATGCCAGGCACTGGTGGCCCATGCCTGTAATCCTTGCTATTCAGGAGGCTTGAGATCTGAGGATCATGGTTTCAAGCCAACGTGGGTAGGAAAGTCAATGACATTTTTATCTCTAATTAACTAGAAAAAGACTGTAAATGGAGCTATGGCTCAAGTGGTAGAATGGTACCCTTGAGTGACAAAGCTAAGGAATAGTGCCCAGGTCCTGAGTTCAGGCCCTGGTATTGGTCTAAAATAAAATACAAGAGACAATATTCCTTTACAAGGGATCTTTGTGAACAGTCCACCTCTGGTTGTCTGATTTTTTTGTTGTGTGCTGGTATTAGAACTTGAACTCAGAGCTTCAAGCGTCACTTGCTTTTTTTTTTTTTGGCTCTACCACTATAGCCACAGCTCCACTTCCCACTGCTGGAGATAAGAGTATCATGGACATTAATGCCCAGGCTGGCTTCAGACCATAGTCCTCTGATCTCAGCCCCCTGACTAGCTAGGATTACAGGCATGAGCTACCAACACCCAGCTGTGTTGTCTAATTGGGATGTTCACAAACTATAAGCTAGTATTTCTTTGAGTATGTGATCAGTGTATGAAGATATGAGCAAAAGAAGAAAAAGATGAATCTAGGAAATTCAACATACAAAAAACAGGACTTCTAGAAAGAAAAAAAATCCCAGCCACAATGGAGGACAGAATATTAACAAAGAAATAACTGAAGGGAATTTGCTAGAACAGCTGTGGGGTACTAGATTGAAAAGGCCACAGTGAAGGAAAAGCAAACCAACCCAAAGCACACTCTCAGGAAATTTCAGAACACTGCATGAGGATGGAGAGAAATTTCTAAGACTCCAGAGAAATAACGCAGGTCACACATAAAGGCTCAGAAATAAGAAGAGATCTTAGTTTCTAAATAGGATTCCTTGGAGACATATTGGCTTCGAGGATGGCCCAGAGAAAATACAAGGTGAGCTTTGTATGAAACCACACATCAAAAATACACCAGTTTTAAGACTCTTACTAGTAAACAAAAATTGGGGCTAATTTAAGTTTCAAGTTCAGTATTAATAGGAATCAATTATATCCCAGGGAATAAGTTAAAATGGATAATTTTTTAAATCCACAAAAAGTTGAATAAGAAAAGCTCTCATTAATTAATAGATAAATTAAATGACAAAAGTATCTGCAACACTAAATAGCCAGGTGAAACCTTTGGAAACTTTCGTTTTCTCATTTACAAGGCTTACTGTAAACATTAGAAAATCCATAAAGGATGCCTGGTATGTAGCAAGTGCTGAAAATCCTGACTCTTTCTTTTCTTTTTTCCCCCCTCATGTCTTTTCAGCACTCAGCCCTGCTGAACTCAAAAGCCCTCAGTAAATCCTTGTTGAATTCAGTTGTCATAACCCAAGCCTCACAGAGGACTCAATGTGGACAAATCACAATTTCTGCTTTGGTTGGAGATATTTTCAGAGAAATGTTTGTGGTGATGCCAGTGTCTTTCTCAGCGATACTAGATCCTGAGGTCTCCATTCAAAGCGATAATCTTCCTCAGACAAGAGTTCTGACCACATGATCCTTCCCTTGAAACTACCCACTGGGGCCGTGACCTGCCTGGCCAGCCTATTTCCCCACATCTTTTCCCTTTTCACTCTTCTCTGCATTGTGCAGCTGCTCAAATAGGACAGCAATGATACTCTGTCACTCTCTTCTTTGTTTACCTATGGAATTTTTCCTATTGTCCCCAGGTGGTGAGCTTTCCCACGTGGACAAATACTATTATTATTTTTCTGAAGATAAAGCCTTTTCCCAAGCCCTTCAGACAATTTTAGTTTTGGTCATCTACTTCTAGCAATTTTTCTGTATGTCTCCTCTCATAATAGTCACAGCTCCCATTGTCATTCTTGCGGTTTCTGGTCTCTACTGTGAGGCAGCAACTCTTTTTTCTTTTTTTCTGGTTGTGGGACCTGAACTCTGGGCCTGGGTGCTGTCCTTCAGCTCTTCAGCTCAAGGCTAACGCTCTACCATGTGAGCCACAGCTCCACTTGTGGCTTTTTCTGCTTATGTGGTGCTGAGGAATTGAACCCAGGGCTTCATGCATGCAAGGCAAGGCCTTTACCACTGAGCCACCTTCCCAGCCCAGCAACAATTTATAACAGGCATTGGGTTGTTTCCTCTTTGTGCTGACATTGACTTACCTTGTACCCGTTACTACTGCATTTATCTCCCTAGGTCATACTTTAGCTCACCTGGCCAAAATTGGTTGTATCCAATGTAGTGGAAATGGATGGAAAGGCAATTCTCATGTGTTATTGGTGGCAGAGTGATTTGGTAAATATCTCCTAGTCTTGGTCAGTGATGGCATTTCTAGAAAGTTCTAAAGAGAAGTTCAGATGACAATAGGTACATACATGAGGACATCAGTGGTTCAAACCCATCAAGGAGGCTAAATTATCCATGGAGGAACTCTACCTCATGCATGAAGAGCATGAAGTACATCAATATGTTCTGACATAGACCAATTTCAAAAATATAGTATTAGTAATCCTAGCTACTTGGGAGGCAGAGATTGGTAG